TTTTTTTAAATATATTTTTTAGTACATGTAAATACACTGTACTGCCTTTAGACACCAAGTACATCGGCATTATTGCGCAGTGTTATGCCATACATGTTGTATAAAGGGATCACTGGCTAATACTTTGAAACATTGTGTAGCTCTGGAACGAGAAGAGAATAACTTCAAGCCGTGACTCTGACTGTCCATATCATCAAGCAAATGAAGAACGATGCGAGTTGAAAGTAAATTCGGGAGCCTACAGTCACCAACATCTTGAAGATTCTTCGCACTCTGAACGTGCACAAGGCTCCGGGGCCGGACAGAATACCCTCGATCCTGTTTAAGAATTGCCATGAAGTTCTAGCAGGCTCACTGTGTGCAATTTTCAAGGCATCCATTGAGGAGAGCAAGTTTCCAGCTTTGTTCAAACACGCATCCGTCAGAGCCCTTTTCAAAGGCGGAGACCGCTCAGAGCCGCGAAACTTCCGACCCGTCTCTCTCTTGCCCATTGCTAGTAAGGTCCTCGAGAAGCATGTATATCGCCAGCTTACTCACCTCCTACTGGAGAACCCCACCATCATCCCGCCACAACAATTTGCGTACAGACGGCATCACTCATGTGAAGAGGCTCTGGCTGTTGCGATCGACAGCTGGCAAAGGGATCTCGATTCGAAAAAGGTCGTTGGCGTCGTTCTCGCAGATGTGAGGAAGGCGTTCGACAGCGTCAACCATCAGCTGCTACTGAACGAACTTTTTAATTGTGGAGTTGGTGATGCGGCTTTGGCATGGTTCAAAGATTACCTGAGTGACAGGACACAGCAGCTCATAGCGCCGGACAATCTGATACGTGCATCGTGCAGCCAAGGAGTGCCGCAGGGGTCTGTGTTGGGCCCAGTGCTATTCAGCATTTACGTAAGAGGCCTTCCTGGATGTGTGAGTGCCTCATCTGTACTTCAGTTCGCTGACGACGTTAACATGTATGCAGCTGGTGACACTACTGAAGAAGTCGTGGACAAATTGAACGGCGATCTTATTAAGTTATCGGATTATCTGGAAGGAAAGCGAATGAAATTAAATCCGGCTAAAACGAAGTTCATACTGCTCTACCGCAAGACCACCGATGTCCCGATGTCTGCCTATGTCACCATTGATGGTGTCCATGTTCCCTGCACGCAGTCTGCTCGCTACTTGGGTATTGTACTTGACGAAAACTTGACTTTTGGCCCACAAATAGACAACCTTGTAGGCTCTGTCAACAGGAAACTTGGTGCGTACCGCTTATCTCGCCATCTTCTGCCATACCATGCTCGGCGTACCTTCTATTTAAGTGTCATTCAGTCAACCTTGGAGTATGCAAGCAGCGCTTATATCCATTCCCTAAGTTCTATGAACTATGATAAGTATGTCCGTTTGTTCAATAGATCCCTCAGAATAGTATTTGGTTTTGATAAGTTTACCAGTGCTTCACACATTCTTAGCCTTTACAGCCTTTCTCATATTTCGGTGCGCGTCAATTTGAAATTGTTCATTCTTTTGTTCCGGTGCATCCATAGCGGAACATGCAGCTCATTGCTTCAAGAAATCTTTACCAGCCGCTGCTGTAGCTCTCACACCACTGCCACTACGAGATCCCAGGTGTCTTTTTCTTTGGCATTACCCCCAGCACAGAGTACGGCTGGCTTTTCTCGGATTGGCTATCTCGCTGCTGACCGGTGGAATATGCTGCCTTCCACTGTTCGTACTTGTAACGATTACCGCTCATTTATTCGCTCATGCATAACCTTCCTAGGGGCTCCCGTAAGAAGACCATAGGTCTGTGGGAAACACCCTAGTAAAATAAACGTTAATAATAATAATAATAACTACTTCGAAGTACAAATTGTACAATGTACCGGTACATGTATTGCTAGTTTGGTGTCGGCGTGCACGAATACATGGGCTTTTTCCATCGACGCTTCCTGTGCTTGCACACATGGAGCAGCAACTAACTTACCGGTACAGGTGAAATATCGTTCCCAATACACGAGGAAAGTGCAATCTCGTCTGTCCTTCATCCCAAAACAGAAGGCCGTCCTTAATCTGGAACGAGGCAATCACTCTCAACCGGACGGTCACTTCAAAATAAGTCTCGCCAGTCTGCCGGTGGTCGTATCGAGTAGACTCTACTACCAGCACAAGGCAGCAGTCGTACCACTCACTGCACTGCACTGCAGTACAGCTACAAGTCAAGTCCAAAAGGAGCCGCCTGCGTCCGCAGACTCACGCTGCACAGCACGTAGACGTGGACGTGTTCAGTCCACGTACGTCAGTCACACGACAGCCCGCCGAAAAAAAGTTACGGTCGGGCTGAAAAATGTACGGTCGGTCGGGTGAGTCGAACCACAGACCTTCTTCAGTGTGGCCTTATTGCCAAAACACACCAGGATCCTCTGTAAATTCGATAATTTGTTCGGAATTTGCCGGCAATTTCTTTTCGTGGGAAATTCCGATATTTTGCTGGAAGCATTGCCGGCAAATTTGGGCTAGGCCTACTGCGCATACCTGATACGGTGGTGCGCTTATGGGCGGGCTGCCTGGGCCCCAGATGCCTCCCTGATGCGCCAAAGGGTGCAGTGGAAGCACCTGTATCACTTCTTATACCATGGTACGGTACGGAGGGCCTGTTTTCAGCCAATCAGCGCTCGTCTAGCCATGGTTATATTGGCCAGTATAAATCCCGCGCGGGATTTATATAGAATATAAATCCCGGTGCACGGTACGTACGCTAGGGCACTGCCACCGTACATGTTCACTGCCTGAACTTGTACGGCGGCAGTACTCCAGCGCACGGGCCATACATAAACAGACACAACGGACACCACATGCACGTGTACACTCCACACAGAACGGCACACTGACGAGGAACAGTACACAATGGAAAAGAAGAATGACCTGGAATTCGTCTACAGAGTATTCTGTTATACTGAATCTGAGGATAAAGAACGTCGAATAACCACGAAGTATCCCGAATGGGTCAGCAATGTACATTGTACTTCAAAGAGTTGAAGATCATCAACAGACTGTCTCCTTCGTAAATAAGTTTAGAATACCAATGTACATGTACTTCAACCCGATTGGAAAAGGCTATAATAGATTGGATTGAAATGTGATACAAAACAGTGTATGCAAATGCATCTACTTGCAAGCAAAACTGATTATAAGATGCCGCATGTGAAAATCAGCACTGTACCATAATTATAGTAACACTTACTCCCAAAGAGTCTGTAATCTAACTAGTGACGGTAGTTTGATTCAACGACAAACTCCAGCACCGCAGCAATTCAGTCGACTTCCGCACCGCTCACGACTCAAGACAAGATCATGAAGATGCTACAATATGCACTGGTACTGAAAGGAAATCTTATGCCAAACATCCACGGAGGAATCTCCTTCTGACCTTGCTCGACCATTCTTTCAACTGACAACTGATAACCATCAGAAGATGTTCATGTACTGCATGATGTAGGAGATCTCCAAATAGGTTTGTTGTTCTGGAAATGCGTAGGGGTACCTGGCATAAGTAGGATATAACCCGAGTCAGAGGGTTATACCGGCTGAATATAAATCCCGACTGCGATAGCAGGAGGGATTTATATGAGGGTACGGTATAACCCGACTACGAGGGTACCTGATACGGTGGTGCGCTGATACGGTGGTGCGCTTATGGGCGGGCTGCCTGGGCCCCAGATGCCTCCCTGATGCGCCAAAGGGTGCAGTGGAAGCACCTGTATCACTTCGTTGATCCAAATGCGAATGCAGATTTGCCGTCGCCCGCCGGCCTGCCGCCTACGGGACCAGCCTGAGACTGGGCCTGCCGCATTTGGCGCTTCTAAACGCTGGAATCCGGTAGACAGTTCACTGGGCCGCCAAATACGTGACTGGCTTGAAGACAGTTCCATACTGCACGGCAGGGCGCCCAGCTCAGGTCGCACGCCGTAGCGGCGTGAGCTGGGTGCGGTGAGGGTTGGTGATAACTACAGTTTCCTCCTTCCTCCTCCGGAAACTTACTTCCATTTATCACTCCCCCCTCACGTGACCGCGGACTCCTGCATATACACTCATGTACTCACACAATGGGGCTGTTAAGTGTGACGTCACGGCCCCTTCGATACGCATAGCAACGGAGAGCACTGGGGACAAATAAAAGTCGCGTCCTCTACATGGAACCAGATGTCAAGGACAACAGCATCTAAATGACTGGAGAGACAGTTGTTTTTCTTTGCTTTTTCTTCAACCGATTGTTGTAGCTCTTTACTCCTTGTTCTTTCCTGTCGAGTGCCTTCATGATAGCTGTGAAATTGGCTACCCACAGTAAACCTCCGTGTTTGAGAGTGCTTTGAAGATGTTTCGCGTCCTGATGGATCAAAGTATGAGCGCTCCTTGTGGATTCGATTATATATAGGTGAGTTGTTCAAGAAATCAGTGTCTTCTTTCTGTCTCTGCCCTCACGCTGGCACAATATCAGCCTCTATATCCATGACAGCTCGCACCTCCCGTAAACTGCATGACTTAGATATATTTTCGCCCTCCGTGGTGATTGAAGACCCATGGAAGAATTTATTATGTTCAGAATGATGTCCTAAGAATATAAAATAAAATAATTCTAGGGAATTGTCATAGGGTATTTTTGGAAGGATGGAGACAGAGAGAGAGAGAGAGAGAGAGAGAGAGAGAGAGAGAGAGAGAGAGAGAGAGAGAGAGAGAGCACTGTTTGAAGTGTTTGCCTCACTGTAATTACTCCAGATTATTGAATGTTGTATGATCTATTTTATATTTTCTATCATGTTTTTCCTGATTTGCGGGATCTCTTCTTTTGCTGTTTGCGTGTTTACAGGAAGTGGCTGTCTGGTGTAACTGCACCAGTTCCTGGGGAAATTAAGTCAGATACAGAGGCAGGGTCGTCCAGTGATGCAACGCTGCCGTTCTGTGTGCAACGTTACCGCTAATACCCCGGCGAAAACACAAAAAAGACTAACACGTGAAAAGACTACAGTATTGACCGTTCTGCTAATAAATGCATGACTGCTCCGACAGTCGATAATCGAAACACAGAGCACCAGCATGATGTTTTCATATTGGGAACCACACAACAGCTCAATTCTCAAGCCCAAAAATTGATGAATACAAAACACAGAGCGACGCAACAAGAGATCATCCGGCAACCTGGCTTCTGACCGCTGGAATTCTCTTCCAGCTGACATTCGCTCTTGCTCCTCGCTTTCACTATTCCGCAAATCTGTACGTGATCACATAGGGTACCCTGTAAAAAGGCCTTAGGCCTGTGGGGATTGCCCTATTCAAAATTTAAATAATAATAATAATAATAATAACCAAACCAACCTGGGTCTAATGCACTGAATAGTCCTGAAATACGCAGGCCAGACAAAGCAGTGCAAGCACATAATGTTACAAGTACATGCATTGCAGAACAAAGTGTAACCAAAGATACACAGGGTTATAGCTGCACACTTGTGCATGTGCTCGCTCAGCCCAAGAACACACGATCATGATGATAGAAACAATCCGGGGGAAACACGCTAACACCGAAGTAAGCATCAACACGTAAATAGTGCAGCTCTGAAAAATTACATTGACATGAACATTGGTGTGTCGAGTGGTATCAGGCTTGAATAATCATCCAACCAAGACTTCATCAGGTCCCAGACGCTGAGATCGCACCCCGAATGTGAAGTGCATCTAGCCTTGAACCTGTCGCACAAGGCACACATATATGGCAAAATGACATCCACTCTGATGATTTCCAGAGACCAATCATGTCAGAACACAGAAATGAAAGCACGGGCTCAACCAAGTAAACGCAAAGGAAGTTAGTCAAAATAATCTATGCAGTGCTCTTTTAATTGCAGCGCTGATTGCAGTGTTGCGTCATAGCCCGATACCCGCTGAGCACAGACACAACTCCATTCGTCAGGGGCAAGACATACTCTTTTGGTATAAAGTCATAAAGTACAGCGTTCCAATGACATTACGGACACCTCGTGTAAATGCATGGTCTGTTCATCTGGCCGACTCGGCCACGCATGAGAGTGTGCATGTACATGCGCGCGCTTGCGCCCACACACACACACACACCATGTATTCGGTGCGTATGGTGTACCAGCTGCGGGACAATGAAGATGGAATCATTATCATGATGTTACATGTACATCTACAGTGTATGTTTGAGTGTAAAGTAAATGTTACTTGCAAAGTATTTTATTGCACATTTCTTCGACACAACTAATTACTTACTTCACGTGTTCGCATTTCTCATAATCGATCCATCTGCACTCCGTATCAGTCGAGGAAAATTCTCCCAGATATACACTCGTCACCACTGCCATGTGATGACATTGGGATGGGCTTCAAGCACGATTGCACTCTCTAGTTACAATAAATTTGGCCAGATTATCTGTAAAGACAAAATGCAATGCATAGCGGCAATCGATGAAGTAAGAGAGAGTTTGTAAATACCCATATCTTTCCACTTGTTCAGGAGCTTACCTTTTGGAGTTCACATCGTTTACACGATCTCTCATGCTGTCTTGCACCTTGGTTTTGTTGACCATGATATACGCCAACTCAGAAAACATTCTACAGGAGCTACTAATGCAGAGCGTTTTTCACGCTCGATCTCGGCGATCTACCTTGTCACGCCAATAAAATCTTCCGTGACACTGGCTACAGTCACAAGAGACGTCTCAGTAAGGTAATGAGCACGACAACATCGTCGAGTTCAAAGACAAAGAGAAAACAAAACACTCACTGAAAGCAGCAAAGAAGAAACGGAGAAATGTACACGATTCCTATATGTTGCCACTGACAACTGGGTGGGTGGAGACGACGCTACTTTTGTTTGTACCCAGTGGGATCGTTGTTATGCGTATCGAAGGAACTGTGACGTCATCACTTAACAGCCCCATGGGGCTGTTAAGTGTGACGTCACGGCCCCTTCGATACGCATAGCAACGGAGAGCACTGGGGACAAACAAAAGTCGCGTCCTCTGGGTGGAACCAGTTGTCAAGGGCAACAGCATCTAAATGACTGGAGAGAGAGCAGTTTTTCTTTGCTTTTTCTTCAAGCGATTGTTGTCACTCTTTACTCCTTGTTATTTCCTCTACAAATCTCCTGTAGTCGTCGAGGGTCTTCATAATGGCTGTGAAATTGGCTGCCCACTGTAAAACTCCGTGTTTGAGAGTGCTTTGAAGATTCTTCGCGTCCTGATGGATCAAAGTACGAGCGCTCCCTGTGGATTCGATTATATGTAGGTGGGTTATTCAAGAAATCAGTGTCTTCTTTCTGTCTCTGCCCTCACGCTGGCACAATATCAGCCTCTATATCCATGACAGCTCGCACCTCCCGTAAACTGCATGACTTAGATATATTCTCGCCCTCCGTGGTGATTGAAGACCCATGGAAGAAGTTATTATGTTCAGAATGATGTCCTGAGAATATAAAAATTAATGAAAAGGGTTGTCGTGTTGTATACAATTATTAGTTTCTCAGTTATTCCTGTATTTTGCCTCTTAGGTCGATGACGGCTTCTCGCCCGCCGATCGTCCAAAAAATATGTGGTGAGGCCCCTATCCTGCAACAGGCAATAAGTGTGGCCGGGGCCGGGAGTATGCGCTAGAGGCCAGTCAGGACCGGCAGGGTGCCCGAGCTACGGTGCTAATAAGCAAATGCGAACAAGCAAGCTCGAAAGGAGATCTTCGGTTGCACTCCCCATCTCAGCTGCAAACAAACCACGCTCCGAGGGAGAGCTGCCCCTGCGTTTTGCAAGCCTAGCTGTAAATATACAAAGCTCCAAGGGGAAATGTCCCTGCATTTTGCAAGCCTAGCGGTAAATATACAAAGCTCCAAGGGGAGCTGCCCCTGCATTTTGCAAGCCTAGCTGTAAATATACAAAGCTCCAAGGGGAAATGCCCCTGCATTTTGCAAGCATAGCTGTAAACATCCAATGCTCCAAGGGGAGCTGCCCCTGCATTTTGCAAACATAGCTGTAAACTTCCAAGGCTCCAAGGGGAGCTGCACCTGCATTTTGCAAGCAAACTAATAAACATCCAATGCTCCCAGGGGAGCTACCCCTGCGTTTTGAAAACCTAGCTGTAAACCAACAAAATCTTAAAGGGAAGCCGTCCCTGCATTTTGCAAATATAGTTGTAAGCATCCAAGGCTCCAAGGGGGGGGGGCTGACCCTGCATTTGCAAACATAGCTGTAAACATCCAAAGCTCCCAGGGGAGCTGCCAATGCATTTTGCGACCATACCTGTAAACATCCAACTTCCAAAGCTCCAAGGGGAGCTGCCCTTGCAGTTTGCAAGCATAGCTGCAAACATCCAAAGCTCCCAGACGAGCTGCCCCTGCGTTTTGCGACCATACCTGTAAACATCCAACTAATTACTTCCAAAGCTCCAAGGGGAGCTGCCCCTGCAGTTTGGAAGCATAGCTGTAAACATCCAAAGCTCCAAAGGGGAGCTACCCCTGCGTTTTGCATACCTAGCAGGAAACCTAGGAAGATCAGAGGGAGCTGCCCTGCATTTTGCAAACCTGGCTGTAAACATCCAAAGCCCCAAGGGGAACTGCCCCTGCATTTAGCCAACATAGTGGTAAACATCCAAAGTTTCAAGGAGTGCTGCCCCTGCATTTTGTCCGCACAGCTGTAAACTAGCTAAAGATCCAAGGGGAGCTACCCCTGCATTTTGCAAACGTGGCCGTAAACATACCCAGCTCCAAGAGACCTTTAATTCTTCCTTTTCTTCTTCTTCGCAAACATAGCTGTAAACATACCACGCACTAAGGGGAGCTGCCTCTGCTTTCTGCAAGCATCACTGTAAACGATTACATACAAGGCTCGAAGGGCTATTAAAAATTTAATAAAATTTTTCAACTCCCCTTATTATTATTATTATTTAATAATAATAATAATAATAATAATAAGGGGAGTTGCCCCTGCTTTTTGCAAACATAGCTGTACCAGGCCCCAAGAGGAGCTGCCCCTGAATTTTGCAAACATAGCTGTGAACATACAAAGCTCAAAGGGGAGCGGCCCTGTGTTTTGCAAACATAGCCGCAGCGCCGGGCATAACGCCACCCAGGCGAGGCGCGCTGCCCCTGCCTTGACCAATGCCGCCGCGCACAACACGTGCAAAGGGGCGCCGCCCCTGAATTTGCTCGCATAGCCGCCATATCAGACCGCTGGGTCACCCGTCATATCAAACCGCTGGGTTAGCCGCCGCCGCCATATCAGACCGCTGGGTCAGCCGCCATATCAGACCGCCGGGTCAGTTGCCATATCGGGCCGCCGGGTCAACTGCCATGTCGGGCTGCCGGGTCAACCGCCGCATGGGGAGGTATGTTATGTATCAGATTGCAACGACCAGGAGGCTCTTAGTAGTGGCTGCAAATGACCGATATCCGTCACTTGCAGCTCTGCATCAGAGACCTGTAGCTGGCCTGAAGAGTTGTAAAATTACTCCTTCGTAGCCGGGGGAGTCAGAGCGAGCTCAATTCACGGCTTGGTCAAAAAACTGTCGGCCTGGAACGTAAACGTGGATCTGCCGACACAGTTCACCTGGTTCACACGCCTGACCTGGCATGCTGCCTTGCGTGAAAGGAACATTTTTCCGAAAGCAAGCTTCTTCTCCAAAATTCGAAATTTCTTTCCAAAAATGCCGTCGTCCTTGACCTCGAAGCTGAATGTTGTTAGGAAAGAAAATTAGCGAAGATGTAGCCGACCCATTCTGGCAAGCCGTGTGCCCTCTGGATATGCAGTTGTTCGCCATGGTCAACAATCTTCTTCTCCTTCGTTCGTACTTTCACTTTCCTGACCACGAATACAAGCAGTACCCATGCTCAGGTTAGTGTTTATTTGTCTGTCTATGCACATACATGTAATACAATGTACTGTTCGTGCTGCAGGCGCTGGCCGATCATGGAAATAGAGGAAGCAGCCAGCTTTCTTTGAATTCTCGTGCTTTCAACAAAAATATGTACACACTTTCCTTGGCTCCTCTTTCCCACCGCCACCATGCATGCACAATCGAGCTTGCTTTAATGCCCTGCAGTGCAGAATGCTCCCACCACCGCAACTACCACCGCCGCCACCACTACCAGCAGCAGCAGCACCACCACCACCACCACCGCCACCACCACCGCCACCACCACCACACCGCCACCACTACCATCACCGTGACCACCACTATAGAAGCATTGTCGTGCACGGCACGTCTGCAAGAGAAAATAATAGTATGCCAGTGCTGTAATGCCCTGCAGTGCAGTATGCTCCCGCCACCACCACCACCACTAACGTTATGGAAGCATTGTCACGCACTGTACATCGATCCACAAGAGAAAATAATGCCAGTGACTTACTAGCACCTCCATGCTGCATGCGGACCTGGACACAGCACTGTTCCCTCTGCAGGAAAGGGGCGGGGTGGGGGGGGGGTATTTCATTGTCCCTGCCTGAAGTAATAAGGACTACATGACATGATATCCAGCTAACTTTGCCAGTAACGAACGACCCTTGATCGGGCATGAGAAAAGTGTTGGTATTTGGGAGTTGTCGTCATTCACGGGGTTGAAAATATACGGCTATATTGTTACTAGGTCTGAAGATAGTCTCACTATCCGTGGGTTGTTATACCCGTGGTTGACTGCAGATACGT